TCTCACCCACTCTTTCTCTTGAGAAAAAGAAAAAAATGACACCAGATTTTCACCTCTTGTTATTCCCTGAACTAGCTCAGCCCCCTATTCTGAGTTTCCAAGCCGCTTTATTCATCTTCCTTGTAACACTCCTCTTGGCGTTTTATTTCACTCCCGGTGGGCTCGCATGGGCTCTGACTAAGTCCATTATCCCGGGCCCAGTCTCGGCCCTCCTCGGGGCCTTCACCGGCCCAACCCCGCACCGGGCTTTAGCCAAGCTCGCCCGGAGCCACCATGCGGAGAAGCTCATGGCCTTCTCCATCGGCCTGACCCGGTTCGTGATCTCCAGCGAACCGGAAACGGCCAAGGAAATTCTCGGCAGCACTGCTTTCGCTGATAGGCCGGTGAAGGAGTCTGCTTACGAGCTTCTCTTCCACCGTGCAATGGGGTTCGCACCGTACGGAGAGTACTGGAGGAGCCTCAGGAGAATCTCCGCGCTTCACCTTTTCTCCCCCAAGAGGATTTCCTCGTTTGAAAAGTTCAGGCGCCAGGTGGGGGTCAAAATGGTTGAGGAGGTGAAACGGGTTATGAGTGTAAACGGACACGTGGAGGTTAAGAGGGTGCTCCACTTTGGCTCCTTGAACAATGTCATGATGACGGTGTTTGGGAAGTGTTACGAGTTTTTTGAAGGGGAGGGGGTTGAGCTTGAGGGTCTGGTGAGCGAAGGGTATGAGCTGTTGGGAGTTTTTAACTGGAGCGACCATTTTCCGGTTCTGGGGTGGTTGGATTTGCAGGGTGTGAGGAGGAGATGTAGGAGTTTGGTTCAGAAGGTTAATGCTTTTGTTGGGAGGATTATCGAGGAACATAGAATCAAGAGGGTGAATGGTGAGTATGTGAAGGATGAAGGAGTGGGTGACTTTGTAGATGTGTTGCTTGATTTGGAGAACGAAAGTAAACTCAGTGAGCCTGATATGATCGCTGTTCTTTGGGTAAATATCGTCTTTTTTTTGTTTTGTCTTATGATGTTTTAGTAAGACAGTTTATTTTATTTTAGAAAGAAGTTTATATTTTTTTAGTGAAGTTTTCAATGAAGTTTAGTTTTTTTAATAAGAAGTAAAAAATTTGATTTACTAGTAGTAATTATCTTTATACTTTTGTTAGTGTTATGTTGTAATTTTATTTTATTTTGTATTTTTTTAGGAAATGATATTCAGGGGTACGGACACGGTGGCGATATTGCTGGAGTGGATCTTGGCGAGGATGGTTCTTCATCCAGAGATACAAGCAAAGGTGCAGAGTGAAATAGACAGTGTTTGTGGGTCGAAGGTTGTTTCGGATTCCGATGTTGCCAACATGCGTTACCTCCAATGCATTGTGAAGGAGGCTCTGCGGGTGCACCCACCTGGGCCTTTGCTATCGTGGGCTCGTTTGGCGGTGCATGATGTTACGGTGGGCGAGAATCATATTCCAAAGGGAACCACCGCGATGGTGAACATGTGGGCCATAACGCATGACGAGAAAGTGTGGGCTGAACCGGAGAAGTTTAAACCGGAGCGGTTCATGGAGGATGACGTGAGCATAATGGGTTCTGATTTGCGTTTGGCACCGTTCGGGTCTGGGCGAAGGGTGTGTCCTGGGAAGGCTTTGGGTTTGGCCTCGGTTCATCTTTGGCTCGCTCAGTTGCTTCAGAGTTTTCGTTGGGTTCCTTCGGATGGTGCCACTGTGGATTTGGAAGAGTGTCTTAAGCTGTCTATGGAGATGAAAAAGCCACTGGCTTGTAAGGCTGTGCCTAGGGTTGTTGTTTGAGGTTGTTTGTCAAGTTTAGGGTTTAGATGGTCTTAAGTCTGAATGCTGGTTTTAGGTTTAAGGGTTGGTTTTGGGGTTGTTAATCCGTGTAGGGGATCTGGTGAAGATAAGGTAAGGTTGCTTTTGTGTGAGTTGTTTGTTAGTTTATTAAATGGTTATGCATGTGGTTCATCTTTTATGTTTGTATACATGGTTCTGTCTAGTTTAATGAACATGTCGTTTTACTATTCTCATGTTGGTTTTTGTTGCTACTACCTATGTTTTTAGTTTGGATTTGTATTTCATTTTTATATTGTTTAAATTACCAACTTGTGCAATGAGCCTAAACAAATTCTAAGTAGCTGAATATTGTGTTGTGGGATTTATGGTAATTTTAAGTGACTAGGTGTTATTGTGATTTTGTGGTAAGGATGGAATTCATTGCTGTATTAAATATATTTCTTCAATTAGTTTATAATATTTTATTTAAATTTTAATAATTACATTACATTGAAATTTAAGTTTGATACAATTTATCTAAATTTTTTTAATCATTCTATCTACAGAGATGTTAATTAGCAATATATTACAGATTTTGTTTGTTTTGTTTTTTAATTGTATATTTGTTCCTATAAATACTATAGGTAACATTTTTAACAAAAGAATTGCTTGCTGCAAAAAAGAAAAGAAGAAATTCCACTGATCTAATATAAAACATTGTTTGCAAGAAAAACAATAGTACATGGATAGAATATTTATTTTGGAGTCTTGTTAACGTTTCCTCTGTTGCATTCCTTTAAATATATTTTATTATTGATCAAAAAATATTGAAAATTATAAAATCATGATTAAATTTTGTAAATAAGAAGTTAATTTTATCAAATTTTGTGTTGTGATAAAGGGTATTTTCTCTTGCGACTTCTTCATTATTTACTACAATACTAAATAAACATGAAATGATGTAGAATTTCTAGTACGCGAACGCCATTATTATAGCTAATTTGTGCCTATAAACTCATCTTTTACAACAGATTAATCACAATATTCTTTCAAATAAAGGAAACTATGTTGTAATTATTTTCCTAAAAATAATAACACTAAAAAACATTCTTTCAAATTATGAACAAAACATAAAAGTATAATATTGCTGAGAATAAATCTTTGATCTGTCAAAAGACACATTCAAAGAATTTATAAGTGGGAGCAAATCATCCCTCCTAACCCATTTTGTAAGACAAGTTACAGAAACAAATAGGCACTAACTAACTGTATACTGATATTGATTATTATGGTTCAACGATTGTTCGAGTGCAACCTGCACTTAACTCTACAATGGCCGACATGTGAGACAGTTTATGCTTGGAAGTTGATTCTATGAATTGCGTTTCTTGAGTTGTGAGATTCTATCAGTACATGCGTGACTTGCCAGATTTTTACCCAATTATGTGCATTATTTATGGCTGGGAATTTGACATGGGTTTTTCGTTTCGAATTATTAGTTAGTGCGGACGTATTGTATTTTCGTTACCCATACATTGTACAGGACTTATGTCATATAATATGATATTCTTGGAGCCACAAAAGGAATAGAATAGAATAGAATACATGAATCATTAGAAAATTTAAAAGTACCTTCTATTTATAATCATATTATACCAATTGTAATTCTAATGGAAGAACAGGAAACAATTATCTTTAAATTCTCTCTTTTCGAATGCATTTAAGTATTTAAGATAGATATGTTTGAGTAAATTTTTCTAGAATTATTTTTAGTAATAAAATAAGTTAGGTTTTTTTTTTCCTGATTTTTGCCTTAAAATTAAAGTGTTTCTAAATCTACTAAAATTGGATATTTAAAAAGTGTAACAATTAAAAAAAAAAAAAAAAAGACAAACACACGGCGCACACATATATGTTAGTTTATCATATGTATGATAAAACTACCTTATAAGTGTGTGGCATAAGCCAACTCATAAATTCCTTAAAAAAAGACAGCTCATAAATGTTAATTGAAATAAAATGGCATATTTAAGTATATATATTAGTTTTAAGATTTTTTTTTACTATTTTATCATTTAAATAATTAGGACATTAATTTTTAGATTTTATATTGCAAAGGAATTGTGAAAATTTAATAAGTTTGTTTAATTTTTCTTAAGTTTGGCAATATATCTGTTTTGAAAGTAAAAGATGGTTACAGTGATTTTATTTTTGGTTTTTTGTGATGTGCTTTTTAAAAAAAAAATTAATTTAATTAACTTGTGTTAATTAAAATAATTTTCTTAATATTTTTCGTAGTATTATTTCAAAATAGAACAGAATAATTATATTTCTTTATAATTTAATTTATTTTTATCAATTTATGTTTAGCCTTTAACACAACTCATAAATATAAAAAAGTTATTTATTCATGTGAGGTTAGAATTCCAACAATATATACAGTACTTGAAGATTTAAATGAAAACAGAAAACATTTACCACTTAAAATGACGGTCATCAATTAATTGTCACCTCGCTTAATTAATTGTTTTTACTTGTCTTACTTGACCCATCAATTTTCATGTGTCCTATGAATTCTCATGTACCCTATAGTAGTTGAAATAATCAAATTTCTCAAAGCCAAATTATCCCCACAAATAAATTCAAATATTTAAGATAATGTGCACACAAAAATAATAATGATTCAATTAATGTAAATGTAAATTTTCACGCATCCGAGTAATAATTGCTAGCACAAATTTGATAATGTATTTTATCAAGAATTTAAATTCAAAATAATTTCACAAAAAAATTAACTTTTTGAAATATTTCAAAATATACGACAATAACAACGTAGCATATGCAATACATAATTCAATAATTCGACCACATAAGCACAACATAATAATTATATGCATTGTCATACATTCAACTAAGAGATCTCTTATAACACAAGTGAATAGTTTAAGTGATTTTATATTACCGAACAAAATAACAACACAATCCTTTTACACCAACTAGATTAATAACTAATTTAGATAAAAATGCACAACATAATTTCTCGAATTTTGCCACTTAAACTTGAAAATTCTAGTATTTTTTGTTAAGGTAGGACAACTTGGGTGTGAGCTTACCAGAACCTTATAGCATGCATAGTTAAGTATTCTATGAGATTAACCCATCGACTATCCTCTAAATACCACACCGCTTCCAATACTTAGTTAGGGGTTTTGGTTCCAACATTTGTTTGCTTTATAATTAGTATAATTCAATCTGACCTCTATATTATGGTCACTTATAGACTATATGACTCGACCTTACCCGCATACAACATCAACTAAGGTTCTATAACAGACTCAATAATCATTTTTTAGAGTCAACTTTTTATGAAGGGTTTTTGACAATTGGGATCGTAGAACACCACAACACAATATCTTCATAACGAGATATTCAACTTTTAAAACAATTTCTCTTCTAGTCCTAATTCAATCAACACAACTTAACATAATGTCTTAAGCATTCTCAACACAACCAACTCAACTATACAACATACAACTCAACTTACAACTTTTCAACAATTAAATCAGCAATATACATTATCTCATATCAATGTTAAAGAACTAGCAACATATACCAACACAACATGTGAGAGATTCAACTATCATACACATATTCAATACTTAGTCCAAAAAAATTGATATATTTTCATTAGACAACCCATGCTTGACACCATTTTTCTCACACTCAACATGAAATGAGACAGAGATTCTTTGACTTGCTCATGGTCGATGCTAATGTATTTGTGCTCAATGTGACTGAGGTTGAGAGTCTATGTGGCAATAACGATTGACATGGCTAAACGCACACCTAATCCCTTTTCAGATAGAGAGTCTATACTTAACTCACGTTCAATGTCACTCCACTAACACATAACGTCATTATTTAGGTAGAGACCTTCTGTCTTGATCATGCATGGTGCCCTTAATTGGGTTTGACGTCACCAATTTAGAGAGCTCCAAAGGCATCCACGTCGACACCATTCAACCCACACCTAATGTGACTCAGTTAAAGAGTTTTCCTTTAACTCACACCTGAGGCTACCAATTTCGTGCTTGTTGTTAATGAAGTAGATTGCCTTTAGCCTATATCATGCTCGAAACCTTGGAGTTGCGCCCAATGCAATGATGAATTTTGCATTTGGCATATTCACGTTTTGACTCATTTAACTTGAAAACCAGAAAATCTCCAACATGCAATACATCCAATAACATATATGCATCACTAATAGTTCATTTTCAATAAGAAACAACACATGTAACTCACAATTTGATCAAAATCATCAGTCCCCTCAATACATCATAGGAACAACAAACCTTACTCTCAACATTTTAATCTCGAAATCAATCCACACAACCATAAAGATGAATAAATCAATAAAAAAAATCAACAATAACTTCAACAAGAACAATCAAGATTTTAGTTCTAGCTTTCCTTACTTCTAATTTGAAGAGAAAAAAGGAAGAAAGAAGTACAATGAAGCTCTTTGGGAAACACTGCATTGACACATATACTACTTTGATTCTTGGCTCAAGAGTCTAGAATCACCTAAACAGTCACAAAATCACTAACATGGAAAGGAAGAGAAGAAATCCTTAAAGTTAGAAGGAAAATGTTTCACTTCGGCTCAAAAGCTCTTTGCTCTAAATTGTCTCTTTAAATTTCTTAAGAATAAATTTATGAAACTCAATTCTTAAAATCTTATATGCCTCTCCCTACAGGTTAAACTTGATCTATGCTATAAAAAAAACTCCTAAATGATCTAAAACTCATTAGGAATCCCTTAATTTATTGAGTTTCTCAACAATTAAACAACAAAATCACCATAATAATTTTCATAAAGTTAACAACAATTAATAAAAATGCACAATGTTACATAAGATACATAATAAAGAGAACAATATTGAATGAATGCTTAAGCTATTTGACAAATTTTTGTTTTATACATTATTTGGTGAATAATAGATAGTACAAAGAAAATAGTATTAAATTTATTACAATATCCTTTTTAATATTAGTAATCATAATGAATTATTATTATCTTAATAAAGTTGATATAGTGTCAGTAAATGTTGTAATGATAACAATAGTGGTGGCGGGAGAAATGATGATGTAGTCTAGAAACATCAAGTTATGTGTTCATGATTTTAATCAATCATTATATGACATTTATTTATGTTTTTGTAATTTATGAAAAAAAATTAATAACATTTAGTTA